CATTAAATATATTTTGATGTGTTTAGATGAAATCATACTTGATATTCTGTGGCTTGCTTTTCTCAACACAGATATCCATGTTGATTTATTGATGCTAGTGTGTTCAGCTGTAGTTCTTTTTCACTGCTTTGTAGTACTACATTGTCTGAATATACTATATTAATTCACTGAAGTGTTGAACACTGGATGTTTCCAGTTTGCTTATCTGGAGTTTTTGGAATCAGCCTGATATGTGTATGTTAACTGGAGAGTTAAATCCTTTTCCTTTTATTAAGATTACTAACATATGGGCTTGTTTCTACCATTTTATGAGCTTTCTGTTTGTTTCAATTTGGCTTTCCCCTGACCCCTGCATTTCTTCATAAGGTTTCATTTTCCTCTCCTACTAGTTGGACAACTAAACAGTCTATTTTTATAGGGGTCATGCTAGAAATTGTAACAATTTTTAATTTGAAGTCTTAAAATTAATATCTCTGTTTCTCCAACAATATGAAGAAGGCTTTTACTGAAGCCATCTTCCTCTCATATTGTTATTTTTGTCCGTATGCTATCTTTTTTATTGTAACCTCAAAAATTAGACATTTTGCACAATACCGTTTTTCTTGTTTATTCCTCTTGTAATTAGACTTTTTTCTCAGATTGCTTTTAGGATCTCCCTTTTATCAATGTTCTGCATTGGTTGGGAGTTAACTGGACCTCTTGATTCTAAAAGTGGCTTTTGTCTTGCATCAATTCTAGAAAATTCTCTATAGATATTTCTCTTCCGGGTTCCTTAGATGTTTGAGTTACCCGTCCAAAAAAACCTCCCTACCATATTTTTTTATCTTTGTCATCTGTGCTGCATTGCATTTGGGGTAATTTCTTCAGATCGGTCTTCCAGTTCATTAATGATCTTTTTAACTGTGTTTAATTTGCTGTTAAACATCTATTTAATTTCTTATTTCAATGATTTTTATCTCGTAGTCATTCTTTTATTATATTTCAGTGCCTACTGTATTTTTTTAAACATTTTATATTTTGTGTTTTGAATCTACTCTGCCAGCATTGTTGACCAAGTTATCATCCATCACTTAATGTGTAGAATAGCTTCTGAATTATTCTCTTTTTAACTACTTGACACCTTATTCTCGCCTGTTTTTTTATATTATAGAGCTAGAGTAATCTTTTTAAATTTAAGTCTGATCAGTTTATTTTTCTCCCCCGATTAAAATCCTTCAATGGCTCTTCATTGTTGTTAGCCTCAAGACTAAATCTTTAACATGGCTTTCATTATCTGTTATCTGCTTGATGCATCAGCCTCATTTTATGCCAGGCTCAATACCTACTGGTCTTCTCAGCCCTTTAAACAGTAGCCTCAAGCTATTTTAACTGTCACAGAGTTAGAAAAATGTTTTACATCGTGACCCGATACTATAAATATACTTAGCTAGCATAAAAGTTTGTTACATGTTAATATCCATACTATATGTGATGATTTCTATTTTTTATTCTATTCTGTGTGATGGGCCTATATTATACCCCACTAGCCGGTATTGATCCACATTTGAAAAGTACTACTATAAAGAGCAACAATCCTTCCTGTACTTTGATATTTGCAATGCTATTACTATTTGGGAATTAATTTTCTCTCCTTTCAATCCCCACTTCCCTGCACACATGTACTTCTAGTTTATATTTTACTTGTCCTCCAGAACTCAACTTGGATATCTAGGAAAACTTGCATTTCTTTCCTCAAGAAAAAGTTTCCCTTGCCCCAGACTAGGCTAGATTCCTCTGTCACAGTCAGTCTCATTTGTATTATTTACCCCACTTATAATTACATTATTAATTTTATAATTAATATCCTAGACTATCATTTTCATTTGTTTATGAATGATTCCTGTCTTGTTCATCACTGATTTCCTAAAGCCTAATATTGGGCCCATGATAAACTATTGAATGAGTGAAATAATGAATCTTGTTCAAAATGAGATAATGGAAAAATATGTGGACTTAAGGTGAAAAGATTGATAAATATACCTGTCCAAAAAGCTTAATTTTCTTTCTGTTATTATTAGGTGATCTTGAACAAAACATGTCTTTCTTATTATCTGATTTTCTAATCTGTCTACTGGTAACATTAACTGTTTTGTGTGCCTGGCTAGTTGAGATTAGACACAAAATAAGAGTCAACAGCCTTTCTTTCCATGAGTTCACAACTGATGTCTAAGACTCACTCACACAAACATACAATATGGTAAGTATTATTGTATGTGAAAACACTTAGACTTATGAAGTGTTGTTATAATTTTTTTTATGGTAAATGGTTGAAGATTTGTTAAAATGTTACTGCAATTTATGAAAAATTTCAAAACTTTTTCTCTTGGTCTTGGTTCTTTCTTGGTACTGGTGGAAGTAAAAATAGAGACAGATATGCTAATGATTTCTGATGTTTTCTTTCCTCTTTACTTCCCAGCGGTCAGGAAAACAGCTGGACAGCATACAAAACCATTGACTTCCAAATTCACAATATTCTGAACTCATGTTGTTTGCCAGCTTGCTGTTGATCCCCACATATGACCACTGTTTTTTTTTTTTGTTTTTTTTTTTAATTCCTAGCTGCTGGATATGTAGACAAAGGAAAAGTTACAGGTATTCTCAAACACCCTCAAGCAGCTTGAAGAGGTCAGTTGGGAAGTAAACCCTTTTGGCTAGTGCCACTGCTAACACAGGAGC